AAATAGGAAAAAAAAAAAAAGAATCTGTTCTCCTTGTAACAGGACACAGTTGGAAACACTGGTTGCATTACCAAGGCCTTGATCGGAATATCCTATTTGAGAGAGGCATGCATAGATTCAGGTATGACCAGACAGCTTTAAGGAACTAAAGTTGACTTGAAAGGGCCAATTAAGGTCCCCTGGAGAAAAGGTTGGTACCTTGCTTTCAGGATTCCCAGCAAAAATCTTACCAGGTGAGTAAGGAAGGTCACTTCCTGACAGGTCCAGAAACCTCAGGATATTTGGGGACCTCAAGAAGACAGGAATCCACCCACATCTATAGGTATTCCAGGTAGTCTGATGTCAAGTTCTTGGTTTGGCTTCTTAGCATAAAGAGGCGGTTAAAAGTTCCATCTGAAATTCCTTATAAAAGATTCTAATAAGGCAGACTTTTATTTTTTTTAAAGATTTATTTATTCATTTATTTGACAAAGAGAGAGAGACACAGCGGGGAGTGGGAGAGGGAGAAGCAAGCTTCCCGCTGAGCAGGGAGCCTGATGCGGGGCTTGATCCCAGGACCCTGGGATCATGACCTGAGCCTAAGGCAGACGCTTAACGACTGAGCCACCCAGGTGCCCCTGCACTTACGTAAGTTTATGTGCACAGGCCAAACTTTACTGAATGAAACTGAACTTAATTTGCAAATGAATTAGTCTTACTACGATTATCTTCGATAGAAACTGGGGTAATTGTAGGTGGAAAGATAGGTCAGTACGAACTATAATATACGCCTGTGGAAATTAACTCTAGTTCTATTATTGCTGAGGTTTTGTTTTTTACCTGTACACTGGACTGTATACAGAATTCTTGTCATTTCCTTCAATATCTGACTACAATTTTCCAAACTAAGGTTTCCAATTTTTGTCTAATCCTCTGACTGGGAATCACTGAGAACTAAAACTCCCCTTTTCGTGAATTGCAAACTGAAGTGGGACAACTTGAGGGGCACGTGGGTGGCTCAGTCAGTTGCATCTGCCTTCAGCTCAGGTTATGATCTCAGGGTCCCTCTGCTCAGTGGGAGGTCTGCTTCTCCCTCTCACTCTCCCTCTGTGTTCTCTCTCTCAAATAAATAAAGTCTTAAAAAAAAAAAAAAAGAAATGCCTCTTATTAAGTACCTGTAGTATATAGGCCTAACATGGGTAATCCAATTGCATCGTTGCCTCCTTTGATTGAATTGACCGGTTCTGAGGACTAAGAAACTCATTTGCTGACATACGGAATCATCTATTAACTCAGGACAGGTTCAAACCTACTTATACCAGATGGCCCAACAAGATAAAGTATTTCACAGTATTACTCAAATCCTTGAACAGATTATCAGGGTGGGCCCCAGAGATCAGGGACCTATTTTCATGGACGAACCCTCCTTGTTTAGAACAATGGTTACAGACTGGATTTCAGACTCTTACCTCTGTAATTATTAAAGGGTTTGCTACTATAATCCTACTTAGTTGTGTACTCTCTGGGTTATAATGTGCTCTACCCCTGACTTTCAGCTTATCAGCTACCCAAGAAGTTAATGTCCTCATCATGGACTTCGATCCTTTGGCATCACAGGTGGATTTTAGTAGAAGCCCTGACAGGTTTTTTTGGTTTTGTTTTTTGTTTTTTTTGGTGTTTTTTTTTTTTTTTTT